AAATTTGTAAACATTGTTGTTAAAAAGAACAGACAAGTGTATAAATGTGACAAAGGTGACACAAATAAAGAAGTAATAGTTGTTTTTTTAAATTATTTTTTATGACGATGAACATTGATTTATTTTGTTTACAAAGTTTATTTGGGTGCTAATAAATATTTCAACTCCCACGCTAATACATCAAAAAATGTAGCGTTCCAATTTTACAGATATTATAAGTAGTAACTTGAAATGCAATCACAGCTATTTCTTTTTTTTTTCATCACACCTCTTCATTTCCTCCTTCTGTTCTGTTTTGTTTTTCCACTTCCCTCACGGATCATCCTCACTCAGCTTAAGTCCACTGAAGTTTAATAAAACTTCAGTGGATAAATTTCTTTTATTCCTTCCAGTCTTCTTTCTTCAGCGTAAGACGGTGCTCACTGACCTCCTCCTGTGTCTCTCCACTTCTTACGTCCGCACACATAAACATGCACACAAATGTGGACAGACACACTCTTTTAGATCACTGAGTGATGTGGCATGGTAGGTTCTTCTCCGCAGGCCCCCATCCATCACACACACACACACACACACAGTCACACACACCCACATAAGAATGATCACAAACACACTGGAAGCTGTCATGATCTGTACTCTATCAACCACTTTATTAGCCTGCCAGTTTGTGCATGTGTGTGTGCTTGTGTGCATGTTAAGAGGCCTCCCAACTGGAAACAGACCCAGAAAGGATACACACCCAACACACACACTTCTTTATTTCTTGTTAGTCTTCCTGCACCTTAATTTGTAACACCTCTAACAACCAGCTCCGCAGCCCACTTCACAGCCACTCAATCTGTCACTGCTCTGTTTCTATGACTGTCCTTTTTCTCAGGGTGAAACAGAGTGTATTAATGTGTGTGTCCATATGTAATTCTCTTTATACCACTTCTATTATCTACATCCACCATGGCCTTGTTTATATATTTAAAAATACATGTACAGCTGTAGAGAAGGAAGTTTTATTTCTACTTTGCGCTTGTTTTCATGCCAGGCTGCCCCCTGCCTCCTTTAAGTTGAACTGCACCCAATCCTCCATACCTTTCTTTTTCTTCGTTTATCTCTCTATCCTTCTTTTCTCTATATTTTCACACAAACCCAATCTAGATCGAGCAAGATTGATACTTAAAAAGAATCTGCTCCTTGTTCTTTCTTTTTCCTCCTTGAAACAATGTTTTTTTCATTTGTTGGCAACCTCCCCAGGACATTAGCAGATGAACCATTCTCTACATGTTTAGAGTGCTTATTTTCCATTTCCCAGAGCCAGAAAAACTTTCGATTCAAAGAAATCTTTCAGCTAACTTTTGTTGAAAAAGATCCTGCTTTACTGCCTGGTTCCTTCTTTAATACCGGAACCAATGTGTTAGGTTTGTTGGTCTGAAAAATGGCAAATCAGTATGGCTCGCTTGTCCTCCAAAAACCTAGAAACAAAAACAAACGTTTCTCTATTTTCTGGGAGGGGGTGGGGGGGACCTTTTGGTCCTCTGCAACACATGTATACAAATGTATGCAAACAAGGGTGTGTTCACACGTTGAACACCACATCAGTGTGCAACGGAGCACTAAGATCACACTTTGTAAAAATATTCCCTCAGAGACACGCAATAACCCAGGAGTTGTGTCTCACATGCTTCTATCTCAAGCTCACATCAAAATCACAATCACCACTGCACTCCGAGCTGCCATTTCCATTTTCTGTCCTTCGTCAAACAGAAAATAATATATACCTTGTCACCAACGTCTACCCGTACAAGCAACTTTCCGCCACTAATTCAGCCCAGTGCAGCACACACATCCGTCAGATATAACTGGTGGAGGAGAGGGCATGCCGAGACAGCCATTAAAGGTTCCTAGCTGTCAAAGGTTCCCCTTTGTGTTGTGAGGAGAGGTATAAGTGTCGTGCTCTTATCAGAGCTTCCTGTGGAGTTTGCTCTGCATCCTGTCCACTTAGAGCTGCTTCTCTTTCAGTGAAGTCTCATTGTGTCTCTGTGCACATGAATGTGTTGGTGTGTGTCTGTGTGCGCATGCTGTCAAGTGAGTCATTTTGTAATACTGTTCATAGTATAGGTCAAGTTCTGAAATTGCTTTTCTTAAAATGTTTTCAGTGAGAGTAGCACAGTATATCAGTGATGTAGAAGTAAATGAATGTGTGAACAAACATACTAGGTAAGACGGATCTTTGTCTTTTGAAAATACATTATTGTATGAATACAACTTCTACAATCTCAGTGATTAAATATAATTACAAAATCTACGAATACCAAAGCAATAAATAGATGGTTTTACAATAAACTGGTTAATTGTGTATGATCTTTGGTAAAAGATCGAAGGATATTCAAGAGAATCTTTAAGAGGTTGAGATCAAAATAATTTACCAGCTCATTCTCCTTTTGAACAAATGAGAAGAACTGAAAATTGAGTGATAAGATTAAGGCACAGCTACCATACATTCAGCGGAGATGGGTTTGGTAATATAAAGACTTTTTCTGATATCATTACAGCTACAGTGTCTGCATTCTAATCACTGAGAGAAGCTTAGGGGAAATCTTTGAGTAGCCGAGTTTTCTTTCGCTCGCTTTGTTTGGTTGAAATTTGTTCACACGTGGAGTTGATGATTTCCAGCCGGGTCCTCCTCCTCCTACTCCTCCATGTTACATGTGGATGGAGGAGGTTGAATGGGTGAAAAAAGGTAAAGGTAAATAAACAAACAATCAGCCGCAAGCTTGTTCTGGCTCTCCTTCTCTGTTGCCCCTCATTTGAAGCCTTATAAATCAGGCCTCCACCCCGAGACAGGGTGTTAGCAGGCCTCCCAGACTACACACATACAGGAACACACACAGGTCTGCTGCTCATTAAATCCACGATCAGATCTGTGTGTGTGTGTGTGTGTGTGGGGACGGTGGGAAAAATGAAAGGGTATGAATACAACTATGCCCAACATGTAGACATTGCAGTGTTCACATGTGCATGTGCCCAAAAAGAAACTAATAACCGCACACACTCTACACCTGGATCGCAGCTTTTCTCCATGTGTTCATAAAACACCTAAGATACCTGTTGCAGCTACCTTGTAATCTCATGACAAGTGCACTTTGATTCCACCGGCAGCAGAAAAGATATTGGGTGGAAGACTAGGTGTGTGTGTGTGTGTGTGCGTGTGTGTGTGGGTGAGCATGTCGCTGACTGCTTTCACACATAAAATGAAGGCCTTGACTCTGTCAGGCCAAGTGCTTGGACTTTAAAGTGCACAGTGAGGAGACAGTAGCTGTAGATCTGAGGAACATGAGGAATAGAGAAGATTTTTTCATTGGCTTGTTCAGTTGACATTTTATATACATATATATATATATATATATATATA